TTTGTTGTGGGAAGAGGGTCAGAGAGCATTAACAAATGGGAAGGTAAAGAAAGACCACCTAGAGGATATAGCATCTGATCTGCTCTTGAAGGAAGGTGGGGATTTTGAGGTAGAGGTAGAGAGTGAGAGCATTCCAGACGTGAGACCCTATCTATGCAAAAATACAGGTGGAATTTCATATCTAGAGGGAAGCAAGTAGGTAAGTTTAGCTAAAACATAGACAATAATAGCTATTACTTAGCATTCATATAGTGTGTTAGGTTGACAAAGCTCATTACAAATAAATATCTTATTTAATCATTATAAAAACCCTGCGAGGTAGGTGCATTTATTATCCCCATTTCACATCAGATGAAATTAAAGCAGACAGAAGTGAAAGTGACTTACCCAGGATCACACATAAAAGTAAGTGGCAGGGCAGATTGGAACTCAGGTCTTCCTTACTTCAAGCCCAGCCCTAAGTGCAACCTAGCTAGGTGGAATATAGAGTATTTGAGGGAGATCAGTATGAGATAGTTTGGAAAGAGATTGGAGCCAGATTACAAAGGGCCTTAAATGCTCAGAGGCATTTGTATTTTTTCCTAGAGGCAATAATGAGCCTTTGAAGTTTGTTGAGCCAGGCAGTCACATGACAAGATCTGTGCTTTGAGAACATCAGTTTGACAACTGTGTGAAGCATGTGTAAATTGTAAAAAGAAAGACTACCTCTTGTCCATGACTGGTACTAAGAAAAAAGAGTCAGGAAAGACAGAACTAAAGAGAAGAAGGAGCCCCTGGCGGACAAATCACCTCCATTTTCTTGATCAAATATGAAGTGAGGTCCCCTGCTGAGGCAGATGGAGGGGCTGACATAGGTGGCTTTCAGAGAAAAGAGGAGGTTTGGAACGGATGATTATAAGAAGTAAATTGGAGAAGAGTAGAATTATGGCTGTAAAGTAACGAGGGGTCCATTGAGATTGGGTGAAATAATTTTGTGCTGGACCCAGTTGTCAGGGTGAATGATTGATCCTCAAGCACTGTCCAACATCAGGTGATTAGGAGGGGAAAAGGCAGATGGTAGTGGACCAGGACTGAGATTTGGGAAAGGATTCTGAATATTTATAAGGCAAAGAATTCAGTAGCTCAATAGGTCAGCCGAAAGTTGAACTGGTTATTTATTGCATCCAAATTTAAAAGGAAGCAAAAATAAAACCTGAGCAGGGTTGATTGACTAACAAGCAAGGGGAGAAGGAAAGGGATGGAGAGGGGAAGTGTAGAATTACTGGAGGTTTTGATGCGAATGGACAGTAAGTTTAGGATGGATGAAACATAAAGAGAAACAAAAGAACAGGAAGTTATGGTCGGATGGAAGAATTTCAGTTTTTCATAATAAAAATGGAACACTTGGGAGAACTGATGAGGTCAAGACCATGACTTTTTTTGTGTTTGATTGAGGTGGAATGAAGGTACAGATCACATGGGAGTTGAGGAGGTTGCTAGAGACCAGTGTGTTTGAGGGGACTTCAACATGCATATTGGGCAGGGGTTGAGGTAGAGAGTAAGAGAGTGTGAGCCAGGTATTGAATGCAGAAAGGAAGGGGAATGACCTGAACCCAAGTAGATAACTGCTCCTAGAATCTGGATGGAGTGATAAGTCCAGATGGAGGAAAACATGTGTTGGTGACAGTGGGGGGAGAGAGGGGCCTGGAAGTGGCAAAGACGGGCAAGGAGTAGGTCCCCTCCTCCTGGGGCACAAGAGAAGAAGTATTCTCTATGGAAGAGGGTGGGCAGGGCTGCAGTCTCTTCTAAGAGGAGCCAGTTTTCTATGATTTTGTGGAACTGGAAGGAGTTCCAGAGAAAGAGATCTAATAAGACAAGGCTGTTTCTTAACAATAGAAGGGTGCTCCATAGAACACAATGGAAGGGGAAGGTACAATGAGATTAGGGACATAGAAAGGAGGCAAAAAGCTAAAATTAATTGGAATGAGGGAGCAGGTTGGGTAGTAAGAGAAGGGAATCTTCTTAGCAGTCTTCTACTCAGCACACTGGTGAATGTGCCCTTAGTTTATGGAACTATAGATTTACTCACCTCCCCTAGCCAGCAAGACAGAGACAGACTCTGATCTGATGTTGATTGCTTGCATTATCAACTTCCCAGGTAGGAGGGGGAGGATGCCAAATCTCATACATTGCTGCTAGAATTGCTGATTGGTAGAATCTGTTTAGAGAGCATGCTGACAACACAATGCAAAAGCTACCCAAAAAGTCATTCTGCTTGGCCCAATAGTATCACCGTTGTTGGAAATATACAAAAAGAGTATTATCCAAAAGAAATGAGATTTCAATTCAAAAATTTTCATAGCAGCAGCATTGTTAGTGAGGGAAAACTGGAAACAACTGGGAATTAATGGGAAATAACAATAAATTTTGATCTCTCACTATAATGGAAGTGTACGATGACAGTAACATAAATATGAGTCATATAAAGAAATCCAGGAAGACTTATAGGTGGAATAATGTAAATTGAAGAAAACAGAACTAGATCAGAGGATACGCTGACTGTGATTATGAAGGGGAAAAAAAGTATACAAATGGATATGAGATGAATGGACCAAAAAAGCTCAAATGGACATGAGTAGTAACAGATGAAATGCAATGAACACTTCGTGTGTTGAAATTCATGTAAATAGTTGTAAAGCATGTTTACTTTTTAATGTTTAAAATAGTTGATAAATTATTTCTAAGAACAAGTTTTTGAGAAATAGGGATAAAATTGCTATATTTCAAAAATATGGTTTCATTTTCCCTTTTGGTTAATGTTCCATGGATAAACCATTGGGCCTCTTTTATTTTTCTTTGTAAAAGTAGAGCCTAGAATGAGAATAGTGGAGCCAGGAAGAGCATCCTTTATGGGACAACAGAAATAATTACTGAAGCATGGCATAGTAGAAATCACAGCTAGATTTGAAATCAAGAGACTTAATTTTGAATACTAACTTAAAGATTTACTAGTTGTGTAACTCTATGTAAATAACTATTCTCTCTCAGCCTCAGTTTACTCATCTATAAAATAAAGCCTGTGCTACCTACCATAATTGCAGAGTTGTAAGGGAAGCCTGGCACAGCAAGGTTAGGTTTCCCCTAACTTGAGGTCTTTAAAGCAAATCTTTCATTGGCATTGATTTGTCACAGAGAAAACAAAAGTACCTACATCAATGTGTGGTGGAAGTAGGCAATGTCCTTTTATTCTTGCACATTAATATTACATCAAGGTTTATTAAAGAATTTGGAACAGTTAACCAGTTCACAGATATATAGATAGTCAGTAGAGGGAATACAAGTGCCACCAGGGCCCCCTTGGGTGCTTACCCTGGACATTTAAAAGAGAAACAAAACCTTGATATTATGCTGTTATCTGCCATCCCATGTATTTTCACAAGAAATTTATGAGAATTTCAAAATATACTCTATTTCTATAATCAAAATTATTAAAAGTATTATCATTAATATACATAATATAATATAATATATTATGTAATATATAATTATATAAATCATATAATCATGCTATTATTATAGCATACCTTTTGTACCATTTTATAGTTTCCAGTGGATGTTCAAATGAATCATCTATTTTAATTTCATTTATACAAATTATCATTAATACCTGCTTATCATGGAGAATTTGGAGGCAGACCTGTGATTTCATCAGTAAAGTAGGACTTTTGAGGAGTAGGAACTTCTCCAAACCTGCTTATCAGCAACCCTTCTGTGATTATATAGTCTTTCAGCATAGTGTATGCCACTGAAAGATTAAGTAATGCCAGTAGTCACATATGCATCAGGGGCAGAACTTAAACCCATCTCTTCCTGATTCCAACCTTTGTTACAAAGGTTGTTACAAAGATGAAATTGGTTTTTCCTTCTTAATTACATGGCCTAAATTTTGGTTATTTCACTTTATATTCTGTAACTGGTTATCTTAAAGCAGGAGGTAGAAGTCACTCAAGAATTTCATTAGATAAAAGATAGTGTGAATTTACTAAGACAAAAAAGTCATATTTATTCTTAGCTATTATGTGACAAATTGATTTCTTGCTAATGTGGCAATGAGTTCAAATGGTAAGACAGTTTCTGTGATTGCCCTGTCTCTGTTGGCTCTAAATTGTTTTTCTTTTATATCTCATTTCTACTGTCATTTCTAATGGGTCTGTATCACCATCACCCCATGTTAAGATGAGATACATATGTCCTATAGAATAAGACATGATACAGTTATAGCATGCTATATATATATATGTGTGTGTATATATATATATATATATACACACATATATATATATATACACACATATATATATGTATATATATATATGTGTATATATATATATATATGTGTATATATATATATATGTATATATATATATATATATATATATGTATATATATAGTTCATGCTAATGATATTTTGGAAGGACCCACGTGAAGCTTCAGTGTGCATTCAAAGCAAAAACAAAAGGGGGTGGGTGGAGTATCTCTTTGAACACTTGCAAAGATTTCTTTGCACATTAGCATTAAAATACTATAATACATTAAATGCAGAATCTGCAATAACATTTCCCTTTCATGGCAGAAGAGAACAAATGCTGAATACACTCTTGGTGGGAGGATACAGAAAGAGAAGAGTAGTTTCTGTTCCACATCTGTGTCTTTGAATTGTGAAAGTCAAGAATGTTTTCTCATAACCTTGCGAAAATCTGCTGGGGTTCTCAGGACTATGTATCTGACTGTAATTAGAGAATGTTCACAGTAGTTCCCTTATGTGAGGGGGCTTATCATCCACTAGGAGTGGGGTAGGGGTGGAGGGAGGAGGAAAAATACTTTTTTTTAAGTGAAATCTATTCATTAGCTAACTTTAAAAAAGAAAAAATTGAACTTGAACAAACCTATCAAAATTTCTCTGGTCAGTCTTTTATTACTATCTTGTCTTGAGCCCTTTTTTTAATGACATCTATTATCAGATTGAAATGGCGATTGAGACGCTGCAAAAGTCTGACGGTCTGTCCACTCACAGAAGCTCTCTTCTCAACAGCCATGTAAGTTGCCTCTTCTTCATGTAAACTAATCTCTTTGCTTGTTCTGCATGTTTAGCTTGCCTCTAAATGCTTGTTTTATTTATTTTGCTTCTTAACCTTCCTTTCTCAGCCACTTACAATCTTTACATCATTCTTAGCTTAGCAAAGTATCTCAGAAGTAAAGGCCTTGGGGTCTCTTAATTAGGCTTTGATAAAACTTTTTGGATAAGAACTTAATACATTTTAAATTTAGCAACTTTACACTTATTTGTAAAACTAGCTAGTAGGGAATTTGAAAATCTTTTGTTTGATTTTGATTTTCCATGAAGAAAACATATAAACCTGCATTGATTTGTGGTGTAAGTAGACAATCTACTTTCTATTTGCATAGAAGTAATGATTCATTTCTTTAAAGCAACTTAACGGTAGAGCCAACAAAATAATTTTTAAATGGCATAGAGATACAAGTAAGGTGCTGTCAGGCATATATGAACATTTGGGCGGCCTTGAAGGTCCAGGGCCTGTAAAGAATTGAAACTAGTCCCAAAAAAAGAGGAAAGAAAGAAGGAAGGAAGATAAAGGAGAGAAGAAAGAAAGTAAAAAGAGTGTGAGAATGCCATATTTTGAATTGAAGCTGAGAAAACAGAATGAGAACCATATTTTTTCAGGTCGTTAGTGTTCATTGTTGTCAGCTACCACTAACTGTACCCCTGGTAAGTGTGGAAAGGACTGAGACAAATTTTATACATTAGGAAGCTAATAATTTTATATGAAATTTTATTAACTTTTACTCAGACTTTTGTAATCTTTCATATACAGTGCTTTAAAATGTTTTTAGAAGGTGTTTTCTGAATAGATTAAATAACTTTCTTGACATGAATAGAAAAGTTTATTTTAAATGGACATTCTGTTAAATTCATAGCAATAAATTTTTAGGTTAGTTTTCCCCTTTGATTATATAATATAAATATCCTAAATTCAGGAATAAAGTTATTTAGGATATTTAAGTGATACCCTTTTTGTTCCTTTGGCTAATCTTCAACTAAAAAACCCTATATTGTAATAGAGGAAAGGAAAGGAAACATTAAAATTTCTTTATGTGGATTTGATCATTTGAATAATCCAATTTAGTATAGTTTCATTTTATGAAAGTTATAACTTTACTTTATATACAGAGGATATAGTAGGTGGTATGGGAATATCCATTAAGGTGAAATTGAGGTTCATTTTATGAACTGAATGAAGGTAAAAGAAAAAATAATTCTGGAAGGTTTTAGTTAATGTTCCAAAGCTATAGTAATTCTTTTTATTTGTTCTGATGTACTTTTGTTTAGATGAGAAAATTTTAAGTTGTCTTAAGGTGAATGGGGCAAAGGTTCATATTAAACAGATTAGGAGGTGTGGATAATGGCTGTAATTTCTTTGGTGAAGGAGTGACATAAACATGGAGAAAAAATGATAATATGTATTCCATGGCTTCTCTCTTTTTGATGTCATCCTAAGATGTTGGTAATATATGTATAGTATTCCTTTGTGGGGATTTATATGAAAAATCTCCTTCTATATACCACAATTGTTCCTCTTGTATTTTTGTTGAAATTTGTACCTTTATATTGTTATGTTAAGGGTAATTTGCAGGATGCTATTAGCAGAGAGGAACATAAGCATATGCATAAGTTTGTGTTTTGACCCTGTGACATAAAGTTTGTGGGGTTTTCATTGTCCTTGTGAAAAAAAAATATATAGGAACATGAGAATCAATCAAAATTCTCTGTTAACTCTTAACTCTGCAAATGTTAAGGCTCTTTGTCTCACAGTAAAATTCCATTCAGATTTTATTTTTACTTGATGAATTTGTATATGTGACACTACATATGTTTAAATTTGAATTCTATTTTATTACCTTTTTTCATTTGGGAGTTTTAATAAACAATAATGTAGGTATGAGAGCATATTTGTGTGTTTTTAACTGTTGGTTTGTTTAAATTTTTCAAATATGTTGTTTTTGAAATTTTCTCTTGTAGACTGCATGAAGAAATAATTAATGTTAATGAAGGTGTGAATGAAGCAGCATAAACAGCAGACAAATGTTTCTCACTCTGTGTCTTCAGATTGTTTATTACCTAGTATGGAAAAAAATCATTCATGCCATTTTTCAGTGCCAGAGGCTTTCTTAGCATATGGAAACAGTGATTATAAATACTTGCAAATGCATTGATAATTTTTTCTCTCCTAAGTCATACCTATGATATCCTCAAATTCCTTAAGTTTACTCATAACCATACCTAAAGTAGAGTTCTTTAGAAACATAGCTGATTTGCTAGCAGGATTTAGTGTAACAGCATAGCCAGATACTATTTATTACTTACATATATAACCATGCTCACAGACAAGTACCCTACTAGAAGCACCTCTATTAAATTAGTGATCTTCAGAATGTTCCCAACCTTGTAAGAATAAAACCTCCTTTTTTTGCCCCTTGAAGATTAATGATACTTCTAATTTTAAATATGCTTAAGAAATTTGAATTGGTCCTTTGTATATGTTCTAAGTGACATCAAACAGCTTAAGGTATTATAGACTTTGTAAACTTAATTGGTTTTCAACTGAGTGGAAAATTTGTAGTGAAAAGATTTTGAAAACCATTAACTTTTTGAAGTTCAATAAGTCAACTTACTGCTATTCTTTATTACATGTAGAAAGACACATAGCACAAATTTAGGTTTACTAAATTCATAAAGTAGGTGATGAACTCAGTTTTTGGACTACAGATTTTGACTTAGGGAAACTTCTATCTAGCAAGGTAATAGTTCCCCGAATTGATTAACTTCCATAGAAAGGTATCCTTCTTGTCACCTCATCTATGGCTTCAGGGACAGAAAGCCAGTAATAGGATCATAGGATAAGGCTGGAAGGAACCTTGGAAATCATGTGTTCCAATTCCCTCATTTTTTTCATGGGAAACTGAGGCCCAGTAAAAAGAGCACTGACTCTGGAGAAAGGAACCAGGTTTAAATCCAACCTCTAGGGCTTACTACATGTGTATCCTTGGACACAAGTTGTTTACTCTCCCTACATCTCGAAAAATTCTATAAATTCTATAAAATAAGGGGATTGGCTAGATGTCCTTTCAGGTTCCTTCCAACTCTAAATCTGTGACCCTATGATTTCAAGTGACGTGGCCAAGGTCACACAGGTAAGAAATAACCAAGCCTCAGTTCAAACCCAGATATTCTTGAGTTCAAATCTAGTTCTCTTTCCATGATACTGCTCCCCAGGCTACTTTCCATGTAGGAACAGGAGGTTATTTCTCAGTAAATAAAATAGATGGTAGGACATAAAGTTAAAAGTAACCTTAGAGATGAACTACCCATCTTCATGTCATAAGAACCAAAACTTATGAAAGTGAAATTCCACCTAGTGAAATTCATTTAATAGTTTTCAAATTTTTCTCTAGAAATTTTCCATTCAGCTGAAAACTAAATTCACAAAAGTTTCTATGATACTTTTAGCACTTAGAAATCAATTAGAACTTGTGCAAAGGACCAGCTAGATGTCTTAAAACAAACTCAGGGATAAGGACTTGAATCCTGAGTTTGATAACATTCTTAGTTTGTAGGACCATTGCTTTGTATCCATTGTTTGCCCCTTTTCTCTATGACCTTAATTATTTGTGTAACTACTCCCTTACCTGGTACAGATCCCACCCTTCCCCACATCTTCTCATTCTGGGTACCCATTCCTCTGGTTATTCTGATATTTGGTGGATATCAATCCATCACTCCGGTTGTCTAACTTATCACTCACACTTGAGACATCATGACCAGCCTAGCTCCTTTTGAAGATTAAACTTAATTTCACAAAGACCCTTGAAGTTAAACTTTTTAATTAAAAATATTGCCACATTTTGATTCATCTTTATGTGTTTATCTCTGTATTAAAACAGGGATAAATGTGATTTTGAATTTTTTTCTTTAATATACTGCTGACTATATTTGTATAACCTTTGAATCAAACTCTAAGGAATGTCACAACAGTTATGAATCAGCACATTGTCATCTGAATACCAATAACCTTCATCATAGTTTTCCACCCTGAATTATAGAAGCCACCAATTATAAGTGAGCTACCTTAAAGTAATTTTTTAAAAATTTTGAATTTTTATAATAAATTATGATTATGTGAAGATGTTACAATTCATTTTTTTTTGTATTTGAAGGTTATTTTAAAGAAAAAGCATAACTCCAAATCAGCACCATAATAAAGTTCTTGAATACTCAAAGTTTTTTTTTTAATAAGCAAAATGTGCCTCATACGCATTAATGGAAAGAATAGTGATTCAAATATAGACAGTTTACCGTTTAAGAACAGAACATGTTCCAAAATTTTGTGAATTGGTTGTTTGGATATAGAACACATTTCACCATCTAAACAATGCTGTAAATAGTGGTTTAGGTTCCTAAACCTAGTCCTCTATTGCAGATGATCATTTAATATGTAATGTGACTAAACTACAGAATTAGAACCAAATTATCAATATCCCTTTATAACAGTTTCACTGCGGTAAGTAGTATGGACTATGTTGCAACAACAATGAATTTCTCTTGACCATAACTCTCCCAACAGGAAAGGATTCCTGCCCTCCATTCCATACTAACTCTAGTAATGAGAATAATACATTGTTGAGGCTTAATCTTGGATTCCAACAAGCAGAAGTGAGAATACACAAGTTAAGGCAACTCCATCAAAGATTCCCTTCAGTGGAGGGAAGCACCAATGAGGCAGTGTTATGATCCCTTCAGCAGTCAGTTAAAGCCTATGGACCTCTTTTCAGAATAATGTTTTTAAATGCATAAAATATGTAGGATTACAAAAGAAACCAAAGGTTAGTGAAAATAACAGTGTAATTTTTTCTCCCATCCAAGTTGACAGACCCTCTGAAATCTATCTACAAACCTATTGGGGGTCTTTGGACTCTAGGTTAAAAATCCCTGTTATAGAGAGAAGGGCTCTGATTAACA